GGAAGGGTAGAGTGGATAGCTGAGGGCTTGGGACTATCAGTATTAGAGCTCCAAGGATCTCATAGGGTTGATGAAGGACATAGCTTCTTAATGTTCCATATTGCCAGTTGGTTTATTGTAGCCCTTGTGGGACTAAGACTAAAAGGCTCTAAGGGGGAACTTTATAAGGAGCTTGGAAGATGTTTAAGACTAGCAGGGCTTAGGATGAAGCTGTAATGTAAAATCTAAAGATGGGAAACAGATGTAACTCTGGCAATGTGAAATGGTTGAGACTGGGGAATGATTAAGTGGCAAAGCAATACATTTCAGAAACGATTATACAAACAAAACTTGTTCTGTTAGTTTAAATAAATAAACATTTATTTCACTTGCAAATAGAAATTAACTGGTTACAGCAGTGAGTGGCGACTATTTCACATACAAAGGCATTTTTGGAGGGCAATATTTTCAAACGAAACAAATTTTGTGTCAGTGCTGAAAAGTACTTTGTGAAAAATACTGTTGTAAACATCAATTTGAGAATGAAAATTGGTTGAAATTTACATATGTCAGCTGCAAGGAAAACTAGTTTTATGACTAAATGTTAATTTTTTTTATGTCGAGAGTAAGGCCGTATTTTCAAAAATTACATTTTGACAGTAAAATGACTTTTAGCACTGAGCCAACAATCTGTGACTTGCAGTTTTGTGATAATTTCAAGTAAAAGACTTTTTCCAGTGCTCGGACAATGTGCATGTGCAACTTGGAAACTACATGTACATGATGCACATAGAGTTTTGTCAAAGGAAAAACTTGTTAAAGTGAGGTTCAGAATGGCAACTAGGTTGACTGAACAGTGCCAGTATTTTGGCTGCCTGGATGGGAAACAGATGTGAATAATTTACCTTTCAATTTTTAAAAGAATTCAATTGGAATAGTTTCATACACTGATGATAGTCCCTTTCAAATACATCATAGGAATTTTTGGAGAAGAGCATCTTGAAAACACGTACACATGAATGTTTTAAATGTGCGTGAATACAAAGTAGATGCATTACGATACATTAAAGATATAAACTAATTTGTGCACAGTAGATTTTGTTTCAAAGCAATCTGATCGACTGTGTCTGACCAAACTGAATGTACAAAAGTACCCCTGATGTCATGAATACAGTACAATGTCACTATGCTGAACAATTGGACATACAGACCAGGGCCCTTGGCTCCCAAATTTTCCATGCACTTTTACTGAACATTGAAAATTGCTTTAAAATTAAAGAAGCAAATTTAAGACTGATGGTGATGACTAGAAAGCTAAGATTCGACACTGAAAATTAGAACTGCCATTTTTACGACACAGCAAACAGCGCCCTCTTGCAAGCGAATTTTTTTTCTCCTTTTTTACAGAGAGATCAATTTTTAGGCCTTTGAAATATTTACGCAATTAAATCAGAACAGTTGGGGAGGTATGCTACACCAAGCATTGTGTATGGACCTGCCTTGTTCACTACAGTGGCATTGTACTGCTTACCGATACACTACTCAAAACAATTTAAAGGATCAGACATTTTTTGTCTCCTAAAGTTTCAGCCTGGTGTTACTTCATTGGTACAATGAGAGATAATGCCTCATGTGTTTCAGAGTCCACTAGGCCCTGAGCTTGACCAAAAGAGGGCCCCATTTTATCGGCAACGGAGGGTTCTTTGGTCAGAAATGAACTGCTTTGGTTCACAAATAACTAGGAAATATATTAGTAGTTCTTTTTGTAAGTAATTGAAAAATGTTTTATACATTTGCATGTGATACATTGCGATGCATATCTTATCTTGGAAGTGCTCCATTTCTCAGTTGTATTAATTTCAGAATGAAATATAGGGCACTCATATTATCAGGATATCATTCTAAATCACAAATAGCGCCCTCACATTATCACGATATCATTCTAAATTACAAATAGCGCCCTCATATTATCAGGGTATCATTCTAACTCATACACAGCACCCTCACATTATTAGTATATCATTCTAAATCACAAATACCGCCCTCATATTATCAGGATATCATTCTAACTCATACACAGCGCCCTCACCGTATCAGGATATTCCAATTCATAAATAGCGCCCTCAAATTATCAGTATATCATTCTAAATCACAAATAGCGCCCTCACATTATTAGGATATCATTCCAACTCATAAATAGCGCCCTCACATTATCAGGATATCATTCCAACTCATAAATAGCGCCCTCACATTATCAGGATATCATTCCAACTCATAAATAGCGCCCTCACCTTATCAGTATATCATTCTAAATTACAAATAGCACCCTCAAATTTTCAGTACATCATTCTAAATCACAAATAGCGCCCTCACTTGATCGGGATATCATTCCAACTCATAAATAGTGCCCTCACCTTATCAATATATCATTTTAAATTACAAATAGCTCCCTCAAATTATCAGTATATCATTCTGAATCATAAATAGTGCCCTCAAATTATCAGGACATCATCCTAATTCATAAATTCTAATTCTCCAAAAACTCCACTCATCATTTTTAGGGCTGTGTAGGAGACCTCGACAAGGTGCTGACCAAAGTGTTTTCAATGTCATGGGACTTCAGTTCTCTGTAGACTTTTGTTGCCAGAACTTAACCAAATTAAATGAAACTCATATTTGTTAAAATGTGAATCCTTTTTTAAAAATTCTGATCCTTTGATCCTTTTGAGTAGTGTACAAATGCAGACAGACTTGCTCCATCAAGAACTACGGTGGAAGCAAAGAACTACAACTCTGACATGTCTGAGAAGATCGAGTCCTTTTCCTTGCCTTTTTGTGAATCAATGCCTAGGATTCCGACGAGGATCCCTCACGCAGTCTTAGAAACTCTTCCTCTTCATTGAGGCGAGAACCGGCATCTATTCTCCCCTTGACGTGCTTGTGGATCATCTCTAGGAAATCCTATTGGATTTTGTCTTCCATCTTGCTTCGCCGGGTCCTTGTTGAAGGAGGCGAGGGCCCTCTTCTCATCAGCACTGTAGATCTGATTCTTACGCACAGCTGCCATGCCAACAATGTCTGGGATGAAATTAAACACAAAAGAATGAGTTACAGCAAAAACATTCAAGTATCTTTGTACAGTCCTTAATTTTACACCTCATTTCATACAAAACAGTACTAGTCTGCCTACTAGGCCGAGTTCAAGCGGATTGCTCTCATATGGTCACAAACAGCTTGATTTGTTGTTCGAGGCTTGTCCGCTCGAATGCAGGGGAACACACAACCGATTATTGCTGGTAGTTAGTGGTAAGCAACATACATGTACACCATGGCGGCGTCCATGTAGGTTCTCCGATGGTTAATGTATGGATAACTGTCTTGAATTTTTTTCTTTTGAAAAAGAAACATTCATTTCTGTCTTGTGGAAAATTAGTAATGTTAATTTTGCAAAACTTTCCACTGTCTGCGGCTTTGTAAGCCATCTCGCTATTTTGTGCGATAGTTCAAAAACCCAACTCTCAGGAGTTTTTTCGTCCGTTCCTCTAAAACCCGGATGAGGAGCCTGCAGGAATGGGGATTTTATTTTTTGACAAAAACTTTAAAATTTGATATTTGTGACTTTTTTATTTCAGTCAGATTCTTTCTATTTTTATGAAAACTAGAATCAAGTTGGCTAAATTATCTTTTCCAAAGCAAGAAATTTAGCTGCATGTGTATTAATTTTCAATCATTTATCTCTTTTGCTACAAAATTAAACAAATTTGGATTTGAATTAAGAAATGTTAATCAAGTAATTGACTAAATTCACAAACCACCATGAATATTTTCTAAACCCAGTGCAATGCATGCAGTACACATGTTGCACCTACCAGTACAGGTGCATGTACCTGCTAAAGACACTTCCTTCAGGTATGGTACAGGTATGGTATATGCACCAAGGATAACCAGGTTGTAAACTGAACTCTATTAGTTTTGACAAAACTAGAGTTCACAAAAATTTCTTTACAGGGTACATGTAATCAAATAACAACATGTAAGTGACAAACATGCCATCAACCACATGAACATGTATTTATTTTCCATGCTATATGTGTATGTACATGTACATGTAGGTACAAAATGCTGGTATTTTACCTTGCTCTAATATGAAGCATATGATCCAGCTCATTTGTGATCAATAGAGCAATGGCTTACGCTTGATTAAAAAATCACTTTATCAAGAGCAAGTTATTACTGATTTTAGTTTCACTGCATAATGACCAAACGTTTCTAATCTCAATAAAATGCGTGTACATGCTGAAACAAAATGGTGATGTACGTGATGCACACTGATATTTCATCGTGTCAAACTCTGCAGTGGGTGAAATTAAATCATGATTATAAATCCTTCATTCACTGAATCCAAAAAGCTGATTTAAATCAAAACAAATAGATTGAATTAAACAAAAACTCCTGCCAACCCAGACTGTGTGTAACACATGTGCATTCATAATTTTTATCAATACTGGGAACTGAAAGGCTCACTGAGGGGGGATTTATTGTTTAAAATGTGCAACACCTGCACAAAGAAACCAATCAGTTGAAAAGAATTTAAAAATTGAAACATTTTTGTCTTAAAAAAAGAAGAAGAATATGTCGATTTAAATCAGTGATCTTTTAAAAAATCATTTGATTTAAATCCCGAGTAAAATCAGTGATTTAAATCAGCAAACCCTGCACGGAGGTGGTGTATGATGATCCTGTTCTGGGAACAGTATTCTCGCATTGTATTCCTGCCGTTCGAGCATGAGAATAACAGCAGGTTGCCCATCAAGAGTAGGCCGCCTGAACTCGACCTACATGTCAGTTCCTCAAAATCTATCAGTTTTTTCAACCATTTCTAGTCAGAAAATGAACCATGAAGCAACGACTCTGTTACTAATTATAAGACTCCGGACGGACTAAATTAACACTGCACATTGTAAACTTGAAAACTTCAACATTCCTTTAGGATGAAGTGAATTGAAAAGTGACATTGTGCCTTTCTGGACAACTGAGGGTGCTGTAATCTCTGTGATGTAGGCAATTAATTATGCCAACAGGGAAGATGCTTCTTTTATGAGTTTTTTATCAAAACTCTGAAACCCAAATTTACTCCTTGAACATGTCTCAGGAAATGTTGACCATTGATGTTTGGTAATTTGCAATGAAACGGCAAGGAAAAGGAAACTTAGGCCAGGAAATGAGAACAATTCCAGTCCAGTTGGTGCATTCAATGAGCTTACCCTGGTTACAAGAGTTGAATCTTTATCTTGTCCCTTTGCTCGTCGCCTAGTGCCCAAACAGAGCGCTGGGAAGGGCTCAGGGCCTTGCACAGATTTTAATGAAGGAAATATGTCACACGGGATCTAATGACATGCAGAGCATTTTGGGTAAATTTCAGCCAGGCATGTGAGCTCGTTCAATGTGTTGGAATACGAGTGACAGTTTATCAGTTCAATACTTTTTTCTTTTTCTTCCTCATTGCTGAAAATATTTTCACTACACTTTATTCGTTCATCCAAAATTGATCAAGACAACGATTTGCAAAAGACATGTGATCGATGATACTTCAATACCACTCTGTGATTATACCAAGGCCTTGCTTTTATCATATAGCTGACACTTTTGCCCGAACTAAATAATACAACCACGTGGTAACGTTATTGCACAATGTTGCCAATCACAGTGTAAAGCCATCAGCCCTTCCTGGCACCCTGTTCAGGTGCTGGGTAACGAGCGAATCTCGTCCCCACCACCTTGCTTGACAAAGCACATACACAGCCATCCCAAGGTCACGGTTGCCTCATGTAAGAATTGTTTTTGCTAACCAAAAGCCAAGGGGGGATCCAGAGTGGGGAGTGGATTTGTTTGGTTTTGAAATTTTTTTGAGCAGTTTGACAACATATTGGGCTATTTATACACAGTTTGAAAGGAAACTTCATTACCTCTTGGCTGCCTTGTTTGGGGGGGGGGCATAGCCCCCTTTCCCAGATACACCCTTGCTAAAAGCCATCATATGCAACACATGACTCTTACCTGTGCTACTGATGACATAACTTATGTCTGCAGCTATGCATCACTGGTCCTCCAACTCACACCATGATGCGGGATACATTAACCGCTTTCAATGTAGGCAGCTATATTGCACCACCTTCAACTGGAGACAAGGTCTTCCCAAATCTATGAAGGAAAAAATGACAAAAAATAACGAGAAAAGGTTACCTTTAAGGTTTTTAAATCACAGAGTATGTTTTCATACTCTCCATTATCCAGATCTCAGTCCATTAACAACTGTACTCTCAGTACGATAATATTTGTGACCCATTCTGCACCAAAAGGCTACATATATGCCTCTATATTAATCTCTTCATTAACCCAAACCCCCTGGAGACCATTGAAATACAGCTATAAACGCTGAACAGGTGTTTTTAGACATCCAAACTGCTAAAATATATGCTTAACTAAATTTGTATTTCTGAGGTAGAAAAAAAATGCTAGCACATCTATTAATTCAATTTAGAGAAGCAAATCGGCTCTGCACGTACATGCACTTCAGTCTCTTCAGAGGAAATTTCCACATCACCTCCCAAAATATTTCATCATCACACAAAGAATTAAGCATTTTGGTCATAATACGTGTTACCAAAACAACAAATTTTTCTCATTCTGAATAAATTACGAGAAGTAATTTGTTGGCTTTGATAATTTTCTAAACTTATCAGACCTTGATTCTGTAAACAAGATATTTGCCAAAATAAACAGTGTCTTCAGTTTAAAAAAATGTCATCAAACATGTCAAAAAGTGTAACGCAAATTACGTCACCATGTAACGCGAGTAACCAACTACAAATGCAAGGTTCCACCAGTATGAGCAGTGTTACACCCTTAACTGGGCTAGGGTGTGCTGAACGCAATCAGATGCAATGTGATGCAGACTGTGAGGCACTGAAACAAGAGGGCAGCCTAAATGAACTCTGCTTGTTGCATAATATCAGCATGAGCATATGCCACATTCTCTAGGCATTCACTTTCAGTTTTTGTCCATCCAATAAAACATTTATCCTCTGAATTACTGTTTCAGCATCAAGATACATGTGTAAAAGTGAGTACACTGTAAGTGTACGGTATTTTACATGTAAATCCTGCACAACCTTGTTGGGGTCAGCATGGTTAAACCCCTTGGGACCATTGAAATCCTGCATAACCTTGTTGGCTTCAGCATGGTGTGAGTAACTGTGAGTAACACATGTCCATTCATAATTTTTATCAATAATGGGAACTGAAAGGCTCACAGAGGGAGGAATTTGTTTTTAGAATGTGCTAAACCTGCATAAAGAAACCAATCAGTCGAAAAGAACTTACAAACTGAAACATTTTTGCCTTAAAAAAATAAACATGTTGATTTAAATTAGTGATTTTTAAAAAAATCATTCAATTTAATTGCACTTAAAATTACATGTAGTGTTTTAAAACAAGGTGATTTAAATCAGCCAACCCTATGAAGTGGTGGTGTATGATCCTGTTCTGAGAACAGTATTCTTGGGTCCCGTTCCTGCCGTTTGAGCACGAGGACAAGAACAGGCTGCCTGGTATTAAGAGTAGGCCACCCGAACTCGACCTAAGTTCCTCTAAGTCTATCATTTTTTTCAACCATTTTCTAGTCAGAAAATGAACCATGAAGCAAAGACTCTGTTACTCATAAGACTTCTGACGGACTAAACTAACACTGCACATCGTAATTTTGAAAATTTTAACTTTGCTTTTGGATGAAGTGAATTAAAAAGTGACACCATGCCTTTCTGGACAACTGAGGGTGCTGTAACCTCAATCTTTTGGCAATTCATTATGCCAACGGGGAAGATGCTTCTTTTATGAGTTTTTTATCAAAACTCTGAAACCCAAATTTACTCCTTGAACATTTCTCAAGAAATGCTGACCATTGATCTTTGGTAATTTGTAATGAAACAGCAAGGAAAAGGAAACTTAGGTCAGGAAATGAGAACAATCCAGTTGGTGCATTCAATGAGCTTGCCCTGGTTACAAGAGTTGAATCTTTATCTTGACCCTTTGCTTGTCACCCAGCACCCAAACAGGGCGCTGGAAAGGGCTCAGGGCCTTGCACAGATTTGAGTGAAGGAAATATGTCACACGGGATCACAGCTAACAACATGCAGAGCATTTTGGGTAGATTTCTGCCAGGCGCATTGAAATACAAGCGACAGTTGTCAGTTCAATNTTTTTTAAAATGTGCTAAACCTGCATAAAGAAAACAATCAGTTGAAAAGAATTTACAAACTGAAACATTTTTGCCTTAAAAAAATTAAACATGTTGATTTAAATTAGTGATTTTTAAAAAAAATCATTCAATTTAATTGCACTTAAACTTGGTGATTTAAACCAAGGTGATTTAAATCAGCCAACCCTACGAAGTGGTGGTGTATGATCCTGTTCTGAGAACAGTATTCTTGGGTCCCGTTCCTGCCGTTTGAGCACGAGGACAAGAACAGGCTGCCTGGTATTAAGAGTAGGCTGCCCGAACTCGACCTAAGTTCCTCTAAGTCTATCATTTTTTTCAACCATTTTCTAGTCAGAAAATGAACCATGAAGCAAAGACTCTGTTACTCATAAGACTTCTGACGGACTAAACTAACACTGCACATCGTAATTTTGAAAATTTTAACTTTGCTTTTGGATGAAGTGAATTAAAAAGTGACACCATGCTTTTCTGGACAACTGAGGGCGCTGTAACCTCAATCTTTTGGCAATTCGTTATGCCAACTGGGAAGATGCTTCTTTTATGAGTTTTTCTATCAAAACTCTGAAACCCAAATTTACTCCTTAAACATGTCTCAGGAAATGTTGACCATTGATGTTTGGTAATTTGCAATGAAACAGCAAGGAAAAGGAAACTTAGGCCAGGAAATGAGAACAATTCCAGTCCAGTTGGTGCATTCAATGAGCTTGCCCTGGTTACAAGAGTTGAATCTTTATCTTGACCCTTTGCTTGTCACTCAGCACCTGAACAGGGCGCTGGGAAGGGCTCAGGGCCTTGCACAGATTTGAGTGAAGGAAATAGGTCACACGGGGTCACAGCTAACAACATGCAGAGCATTGTGGGTAGATTTCTGCCAGGCGCATTGAAATACAAGCGACATTATCAGTTCAATTTTTTTTTCTTTTTTTCCTCACTGCTGAAAATATTTTCACTACACTTTATTCGTTCATCCAAAATTGATCAAGATAACGATTTGAAAAATATTGCCAAAGGACACGTGATCAGTGATACTTCAATACCATACTGTGATTGTACAAAGGCCTTGTTTTTATCATATACAGTAGCTGACACTTTTGCCCGAACCAAAAAATTTAATGCTTCAATAACAGGAAGTGATAACCTTGTGGTCACAGGTCATGCACAATGTAGCCT